TTTGATCATCTCATTGGTTACACCATCAAGCCCGGGAGATTTGCCGTTTTTCAGCTTTCCTATACAAACTGTCAGTTCAGCCATGGTGAGGAGAGAATCATAACCTGTGTTCTGGTCAATAGGGAGGAGTTTAAGCTTTTCATTAAGCTGGTAGTGCCGGTGTTTGTCTGCCTTGTCGAGTTTTAGGCGGCTGACTGAGGCGTATTCACGGCAAAAGATTTACACATTTGAAACACATGACGCAGATTTTAAATATTATTCTTTCTTTTACAGGGAGCCAATGCAGTTCTTTTAATAAGGGAGTGACATGGTCTCGTTTTTTAGATCTTGTTATCAGTCTAGCGGCATTGTTTTGGATTACTTGCAAACGATTCAAATATTTGTTGTTCAGATTTGCTAGGAGTGAGTTACAATAGTCTAATCTAGATAGGATAAGAGATGTTACCAGTGTTTTGTGGTCTCTTCGTTTAAGTACTTTTGAACTAGGCCTATCCTTCTCAGCTGAAAATAAAGGGATTTGGACAGAGAACCTATAAACGAGCCCATTTATAAGAGGTGGTCAATATATACTCCGAGATTCCTGACAACTTCTTTACTAGATGTCATATGCCCATATAAATCAAAGTTGACACTTTCCAGATCTTTATTTAATCCTGGATTTTTTAAATAAGAATGATGTCTGTCTTTTCTTCGTTTAATTTCAATTTGTTTACTGTCATCCACTTTTAATTTCATAAAAAACATTGTTTTGTGATAGAAACCATGTTTGGCACATCTTGAATGGCGCCATTAACATACATTGGGGAATCATCGGCATAAAAATGATAATTCAATCCATGATTTTGTAAAATGTTTGCTAAGGGCTGTGTATATAGTGTAAAGAGCACTGGTCCAAGAACGGACCCCTGTGGAACTCCAGAATCGAGCATGACCTGCTTTGAAAAGCTATTTTTAATTTGTACTGACTGAACTCTTTCTAGTAAATATGACTTAAACCACGAAAGCACAGTACCCGATAAGTCAAATGAGCGCTCAAGTCTTGTGAGTAGAATAGCATGGTCAATTGTGTCAAAAGCTGCAGACAGATCCAAAAGCGTTAAAAGACGGATGTTTTTGCTATCAACAGAATCCAATAAATCAGACGTTACTTTTAAAAGCGCAGTTTCGGTACTATGATGAGTTTTATAGGCAGATTGGTAAATTTCCTCAAGACCATTTTTTCTCATGAGAGCCAAAACCTGACTTAAAACAATCTTCTTTACAATTTTTGAGACAAAATTTATGATTTGAATGTGAATGTGATCAGGACCAAAATATCATGATTAAATGGCGCACTTCCAAAAAATACAAATGTTTATCTTTTTGTTTTTGTTTTGGGTTTTCTATTGTTCTCCTTTCTTGCCATCAGTACTTTCAGAAAAATACTTGCAAAATGGCACATAAGGCTTATTATTATTTAATGCTGCTGCATTCTGTGGCACCTGGTGATTTAGACAAAGCTATGCAGGCCGACTATGTCATACCTTATGGAATCTCACTCCTGTCATAGATAGTATTCAAGAGCTGCAATGTTATTTCAGTACTTCAATTGAAACAGGCCTGTTTTCTTGCTCAGTATATATTATTTATGCAGCTTTCCCTTGTTTCATTTGTTAATGACAGCTTGTAATCTTCTTTCAGAACTGGTGGTCCATCTATTATATACTTTTACAGATTTTTATCCTCTGTTATCTGTAAAATGTTTTTCAATATTATGTTCTGATATTCTTTATCTGTTTAAAATAAATAATATGTCGCTTTTGTCCATTAAAACATTTCCTCTTTTGATCTTATGCAGCCCGTGTTTGACCATCCAAAGAATAAAACACCATGGGAAACACAGTGGCTCAAGGTACGAACTACATACACATGTGTATGACATTGGATACTTTTAAAGAATTCTTGGGGGGCTCTCATGATCTAGGGGTTAAGGTGTTCGCCTTTCATTTAATAGATCGTGGTTTCGAATCCTTATGGCGACGGAAAATTTTCTTTTCACACCCTTTCCTGCTCTCTAACAATGTAGTGTCGTCTGCTTTTGTCTCCACTTTCTGCTCCAACCCCCTAACCTCCTTTGCCCCCTCCTCTGGACTCCTGACTCTTTGTGCAGCATTTCTACTGCTACTCCTTGGCTCATTCTTACTGCTGTCTTCCACCACACCCTACATCTTATGGTAGGAAAGATCTACTGCTAGTCTTCTTGGACAAGGACGAAAAATTTCGGAGGTCCCGTGTGTAAGTTGCGCACGTTAAAGATCCATTTGTGGTCCAAAATCGATAAGAGTAGGCTTCAGCCTCCACCCTGGCAAAATTCAAAATTCCCTACCAACTTATAACGTTAAATGTGTCCCACGCGCTCAAATTATGACCGTATGCAGTTGCAAGCGTCGTAAAACACTTACTCTCCTCAAAATTTAAGAAAATAATTTTCTTGCATCTGATGTTGATGTCGCATTTATCTATTTTACCAAGTTATCAGGAGTAAAAAATGTCTTTTTTTAAAACAATGAAATCAGTAAAAAGACTTACTGTGGAAACATTCTTAGAGACGTAGTTTTGACAAGTCTACTGTGGCAAACAAACAAGATTATTCTCAGACCCATAAAAGACATTCTTTCTCAAGGTGTTTGCGAACAGTTTCATCAGTTTCTGACACTAACATTTTGGCAGGTCTTGTTTTTAGTGCCATATTTGAATTCATTTTGTATTTCCAGTAAAATAAGATACAATGTACGACTCGTACAAGGACTCTTTTTCTTGACTGGGTATGTAGCCGTCCGAAGAAATTCCCCAGGTGGGGAACTGTGAAAATTTCCTAACGGGTATTGTCTGCGGATGTGGCTTGAAAAACAGCTCTTTAGATCATCTACCATAACTTGGTTCTTTAGTATTTCTTTTCTTTTCCAAAAAGATATTATTCTTATGTCACTTGGTTTTCAATTTTCTGTTTAGCGGGTGGTTGGCGGGTGGTCTGGTGTGGTTTGCTTCTTCTTTCCTTTCAAAAATCTATCGTTTTTGTCTCACCTCCTTCTTTTTTTGCGATTGTTACTCTCTTGTAACACCTCTAGTCTTCGGCACTTATATGACCTTTTGTGTTGCAAGTGCCGTAAAACTCTTACTAAAACTAAAAACATTCTGGTCTTTCGACAATGTTGGAAAATGCGCTGTCTTGGGGCCCATAAAAGGAGCATGACGTAGTTCATTATTCGCACAGATTTGACAACACTGTGTCCTTTAGGCCTACCATTAACTATAAAACATGAACATTCTTGTCGCTTCGTGTTTCATGGACTAAATGTGCCGGACCGTTGGCATTGGTCTGCTGCTGGTTGGACTTTTGGTGTCCGTCACATCTTTTTAGAGTTAAGGACTGGTGGGGCACCTGAGGTCTATTTTGGCTATTACAAGGAATAGAATGCCCATATTTGCTGTGGGACATCCTGTGTTATTGAGTATTTAAAATCAATAGTTCAAAAAGTACATTGTGAATCGGTTGCTATGGAAACTGTGGCCATACTGGATTTTGTATACCTTTTTCAATCCAATTTTATTCCCATATTTATTGACTGATTCACTAATAAGTTGGCATGCCGATAGTAAATATGTAGCTCTTAAATATGGCTTTTTGAAATTTTGATATATACTTTAGTTTTTATTTTATGACACTTACAATAGGGTTGTTTCCCCCCAAAAAGTGAAAAAAAAGAAAAATTCATGCTTTCTCACCTCATAATAAAACCTACTCTATTAATCAAAAATTCAACAAGCTAAAATTGAGAACTAGGTGTTGTTGGTATCCTGTGAAAGTTACATTGAAACCCATTATTTGTTATGCACAGTTTCTATACTATACATGTATATCCCACACTCTTGATAAGGGGGGCTCTCGTGGCCTAGAGGTTAAGGTGTTGGCCTCTCATTCAAAGGTCCCGGGTTCGAATCCGGGTAGCGACCGAAACATTTTCTTCTCTAAAATTGTCTCCTTTCACCTCCTTTCCTGCTCTCTAGCAATGTTCTGTTGTCTGCTTTCATTCCCACTTTCTGCCCCCACCCCCTCACTTCCTCCTTTGCCCCCTCCTCTGGGCTCCTGACTCTTTCTGCAGCCTTTCCACTGCTACTCCTTGGCTCCTCCTTACTGCTGTCTTTCTGCCACACCCCTGATCTTCTGGTAGGAAAGATCTACACTTAACCTTCTCGGACAAGGGCGAAAAATCTCGGATTGCCCGTGTGCAAGTTGCGCACGTTAAAGATCCCTTGGTGGTATAAAATCGATAAGAGTAGGCTTCGGCCGCCACCCGGGCAAAATTCAAAATTTCCTACCAACTGAAAAATATTAGGTGTGTCCCGCGCGCTCATATGACCTTATGCATTTGCGAGCGCCGTAAAACACTTTACAAAACAAAACAAAAACAAAACACTCTTGATACATCTCTATCTTTAGCTCGATACCTGAGAATTACAAAGCTTTATCTGCTCGGTACCTCGCTTTGAGAAATTTGACGCCAGAATTTTTGAGTTTCTCAATACGTGAAGCTTTTCGAATGAAATTCTATGAATATCTTGAAAACAACTCTGAATAGACTAATATTATGACTTTGATAGAGTCCTGGCGATAGAAGTAGAAATTAAATAGACTTCATACTTTTTCAGATTCAGAAACGTTTTAGAAACACAATAAAATCATCTAGATCAATGCCAGGAGCAGACTGTGATAGTTCTCATGTACCAGTCATGTACCTCTTGATGGAGCCTTTGGTTTCGGACCTCATACTCTAATTTTTTATTATTTTTATTTTAGAGTGTTTTACGGCGCTCGCAACTGCATAGGTCATATGAGCGCGCGGGACACACCTAATATTTTCAGTTGGTAGGGAATTTTGAATTTTGCCCGGGTGGCGGCCAAAGCCTACTCTTATCGATTTTAGACCACCAAGGGATCTTTAACGTGCGCAACTTGCACACGGGCCCTCCGAGATTTTTCGCCCTTGTCCGAGAAGGCTAGGTGTAGATCTTTCCTACCAGAAGATCAGGGGTGTGGCTGAAAGACTGCAGTAAGAAGAAGCGAAGGAGTAGCAGTAGAAAGGCTGCAGAAAGAATCAGGAGCCCAGAGGAAGGGGCAAAGGAGGTGAGGGGGTGGGGGCAGAAAGTCCTACTCTAAGTTACTCAAAATGGCCAAAAATGTCAGATAGAACTATGTAATTCTAAGGTATCAAGCTCCTCTCACATGTACCTTCTGCATAAATATTATGCTAAAATAAATATCTGTAAATGTTCAGACTTATCACATTGGTTAGGTACGTCACCACAGACACACACACACACACACACACACACATACACACACACACATACACACACACACACACATACACACACACATACACACACACACATACACACACACACATATACACACATACACACATACAAATACACACACACAGATATACACACATACAAATATATAAGTGAGGCAGCGTGGTGGAATCAGGCTCTCGTCAATTTTTGGGCATGTAGAGTTATTGGTATCATCTTAATGCTTGTTCACTTGTCTTTATTTGGATAAAAAAATATCCATTTATCTTGAATACAAGTCGAGATATTTGCGAAAGAAGGAGGTGGGGGTCACCTGTTTTCAGAGGTGAAATTAGAGAGAAAATGGCCGCTAAAGATTAGTTATTTCCTTAGCTTAAGAGTCCGTGGTAACTGAAAATTTACATTTGTTGTGCTTTAATCAACGTTTTTCAGAAAAATTCACTCAGAAATGAGTTTTTTAATGAGCATGAAAGCTGTTGAGTCAAAAAACAAAAATTTGATAAAAATTCATAAACCTGCGGAAAAATGCAAGATTCTTCACTTTGATAATTTTGACGAGCGCCTGATTCCACTACGCTGCCTCACGGCTCTCTCTCTCGGCGGTCAGATAAAACAAACTTCACATTAAAGCTCAAACGAAGCGGGTCGTTAAAGAATGCTACTGGTGGATCCTACAACTTAGTTTTCCCTCTGTTATTTCTGTCTGTCTGTCTTACTTTTTCCCAGCACTGAATAACCATTATTTTGAGTTTGTGTGTGTGTGTGTGTGCGTATTTTTGTGTGTCTGTGTGTGTGTGTGTATGTGAGAGAGAGTGAGAGAGAGAGACAGAGAGATAGAGAGAGAGAGAGAGAGAGAGAGACAGAGAGAGAGAGAGAGAGAGAGAGAGAGAGAGAGAGAGAGAGAGAGAGAGAGAGAGAATTTGCGCAGCATGACATGTGAATTTGTCAGACCCATAAAATATCCACACTTGAGGACTGACGATCCCTCCAATCTGGGTTGAGTTAGCAGAGGTCAAGGTCAAGTGTCCGGCAGGGTTCATATCGACTCCAGATTCTGCACGTAGACCCAAAGGCGTAGACCTCAGCACTACAACCGCAAGGTTGTCTTCTTAGTTTGCACAAAAAATGGTACAATGCAAGAATCAAGTAACTGGTTTCTTGAAACATATTTTAAACAACAAAAATACAACAAAAAACAACAACAACAAACAAACAACAAAACAACAAAACAAAAACAAAGCAAAAAACAAACAACAACAACAAAACAACATGTTCTACAACAAACAAACAAACAAACAAACAAACAAACAAACAAACAAACAAAACGAACACAAACCAGCCCAAACAAAAGAAGAAAAGGAAAAACCCTAACCAAAGACGTTGTGATTTAAAAGATAGGCGAACAATTTGAATGAAAAGCGAACCCACAAAAGTTAGCCCGTGGCGCTTTTGTCCTATTATTAATCGTATTGCAGTTAATGAAGAGTCCTGTTTTGCTACAGATTTATTATGGAAGTGTTAACCATATGCAGCATT